AATACGTCGTTTTTGTAAGAGTAGAACTATATACCGGATACGCGCAACGTATTTTAATAAATAACTTTTATAGCTCTATTATTACTATATTCCGTCCGAGATATTTCTATTTACTATAGCTAAAAATAAGCTCGAGCGTTACTTTTATCGATCTTAGGCTATCCGTATTTATTATAAGCTATTAATCTGGTTAAAAGTCGTTGGTATCCTAACCCTAAATATTACCTTGGTAAAAAATACCCTACGCTTTATAACTAATACGCGTTCCCTTTAGTAAGTATACGCTTTTAAAAATGTTATTACTTTTGGGGACTTTTTTTAATATTTATTTAATAACTAGAGAAAAGATACGTAAGCTTTTTTTAATAATAGCCTATAAGTAAGCTATTTTTCGTACCTCTGCTTTTTTTATAATAAGCTAAGATAGCTAAAAGCGCTCGATTTTTATATAAAGTGTTATGAGTACTTATAAGTTAGTAATAAGGTAAAGTAGCGTAGCTCGGATTACCGTAGCCGTCGTATCCGATTTAGTAAGTTTATTAAAAAGGTTAGTAATAGCTTTAAAATATAGGACCGAAGAGATCTTAATAATTTATATATTTATATAAGGATTTCTAACGACGCCTCTTTTTACGTTAAGCTATATATTATAAAAGAGCTAAGTATATTTTACTTCGTCTTTTTACTTAGCCCAAAGCGCTCGCTAGTAATTTTTTTTACTATCTTATTAATATATATTAGCTATACCGGGCTTACGAGAACGTAATAAAAACTACGTAAGTTAGTAATTAAGCTATTAAGCATAGGCTAGATCTAAGAAAGAACGTAAATAAAATATACTAAATTAGCTTTCCGAAGTCAATAGCGTTATTTTTTAAAAGTAATAGCTACTAAAGTAGAGGTTATAATAAAATATAGAGTAGAGAAGGTAAAACGGCCGTAACGATAATATTTAGTATACTTTATTCTATTATATAAATATAGTTATAAATGTCCAAATCAGAAGCTAGATTACTAAACGGCTTACTAAATACGAGATTTAAAATAATATTAAGCGTAAAGTATTACGCTTTTAAACCGAAGTCGAATCTCTTATTTTAAAAAGTATATATATTAATTATCGATATAAATTAAAGAATACTCTTATCGATTTTAGCTTTAAAGTCGATAACTTCTTTATTAGAATACTTTGTTATGATTGTTAGTAATTTATACAAATTAACTTATAGTATATAAGAAAGGATTACTTACCCCTCCCGCTATTTAAAACCGGAGTCTAGTATATACTATATCGTTTTTAATAAATAGTACGTTATTATTTTTTAAATTTAATTATATCGCGTTATACTAGTTTAAACGCGTATACTTAGTACGTACGCTGAGTATATACTTTATAAAGTCTAGGTCGCTTATTATAACGTTATTTAGACCGATATAAATAAAAGATCTTATAAGAGGAGTTAGTAAGCGTCGTAAACGATACTAAGAATAGTAATAAATATTATATTTAAAGCCGGCCTCGTAGAACTTAAAGTATATATTACTGCTATATATAGTATATAAAAGCTATTAAAAGGAGAATTTAGTAGAGGGGGGGCCGGGGATATGTTATAGTTATGTATATTAGTAAAGGATAAGTATAGTAGTATATAAGAACGGACCCTATGTTAAAATAGTTATAAAGGTAGTAATATTCCTTATAGCGGAGGTAAGTAAATTACGCTAGCTACTGATTGCGCTAGCTATCGTAAGCCCTTAGTAGGTAGCTTTAGCTAATTAATAAATAATAAGAGTAAAGACGGTAGGTTAGTAGTTATTACTCCGTTTCTAATATATACTAGGATGTTTATAAATAGGGTAGTTTAGGGAGGAGACTTTTAATAATTTTTAAAAAAGGCTGTACGCTATATAGTATATATATTTTATAGAGCCTATAATATATTTTATAAAATAGATATTGGTTATAGTATCGTAGTAAATACGATTATAGGCAGTTCTAGGTATCTTTACTTAAATCGACCCCTCTATAATGCGACTAGTATAGGTTTAGCGAAGTAGTATATAATATTTTAAAATATAGCTCTTTGTGCCGCGGGGATGGTTTTGACCCTTTCGAACCTTTGTACGACGTAAATATTAAATAGTAAAGTTAACGGCCTAGGAAGCTAAATTAGGTAGCTACGTACCGGGTTTATATTACCGCTTCTAAATCTTATATAAAGCGGTATAAATATAAAAAGATATCGTACTAACGCCTATATATTATTAAGCCGATATAAAAACTCTAATACTCGTTTTACTATAATAATAGGCTATTATTTATTGAGACCTCTTAATAGTTTATAGATAAACGTAAACTAGACCCTATTTACGCACTTTCCGCTTACTATAACTCGTCCGCCTTAATACTTATATAATAAACATAACGAAGCGTATCGCTTTTTACGACCTTAGGCTATACGAGGTACAAAGTCCCGTAGCTTTATATTCGTTATTTATATTATTAACAATAGTTTACTAAATAAATCGTAAATACTTACCTAAATTAGGCTACTAAGCCACTTATAATAGCTCGCATATATCTATAAGCTTTAGGTTTTAGTTAAGTACTTAGACTACTTATTTAATACTAATAATAACTTATCTATAGTAAATAAAAAACGACTCTATTAGGGTATACTAGTAGCGCGATCTAAAATAGAAATAATTTATTTATAGGATAATAAACTATTACTAGCTAGTTCTCCGAGCCCTAAAGAAACTATAATTACTAAGTATCGTATTAGCGCCGTTATTAACTACGTTCGATATAGTTAGGATATAAGTAACGTAAATATTAAATACTAAATAGAACTAAAAATCGTTATCGCCCTCTCTCGTTTTACTAAGAGCTAGAGCCTAGATAATTTTATAAATATATATAAAAAGATTATAAGTAAGCTACCGACGTTATATATAACTAGTATCTCGAAGCTCTAGGCCTAGTTTATATTATAAACTTAAGTTACCTGTACGAGCTTAATAAGTAATAATAGAGCGACGCTAACTGTCTCCGTTAGCTTCTTACTAAACGATATCCTTAATATAACGCTTATTAATATTAAAAAGTAATAGAAGATATTATTTATCTTATTAGTAAAACGCGTTAAAGAGTTAGAAAAGTCTTTATGTTAAGATCTTTATATAATATAGCTAGTTTTTTTTAAGTTTGCGTATAATAACGGTAGATAATAATAGAAAGAACTAGACGAGCTAGGGTAAGCTAGTATAAATATTATTAACTACTTTTACCTAAACGCGGGCTAGGTACTACTACGGGGCCCGGGCCCGCTCTTTAGTTAGAAACTATTACTAGGCCCTATAGGTCCCGTTACTAACTAAGTAAAGGTAAAACGAGAATCGGAAATAGGTTTATATAGTACGGGAGGTTCTTAAGTAATATATAAAGATATAAATACGTATATTTATTAAACGTAGGGCATAGCTCTAGGAGTTAAGTACGTATAACTAAGTTAAGATATATAATAAAAGGTAATTTTTAGCGCTTATTAATGTTATATAGTATCCGTAAGTCTAGTTAATAAATACTTTTTTAGATAGAAATAGTATTACGATATGTGCTATATTTAAATAATAAGGTTTAGTAAAGAGCGGGGCACGCTTAGTTTAGAAAGCTAAAAGCTAAGGTAAGGTTTTTTTCTAACGGCCTCTTTAAGCTATTATAAAGTAGTAGATTTAGCTTATATTAGGCTAGCTAACGTTTTATAGCGCTACTAATCTATAACCTTAAGCCCTATTAAAAACGGTAAAAAGCTACTCTAATATTCTTATAGTTATTACCTTTATAAATCTAAATATACACCGAAGCTCTAGGTATAAGTTATTATTATCCTTAATAGTACTATATAGGGGCCGTACCGTCTTTTATTACTAATTAAGGCTAGAAAGGGCTCTGGGCTAGTTTATTTTCTACCCTTATCTCAATAAAATAAAAATAATTACTTTTAAACGTTACGTTTAGGATGCTAATATATATATTAAAATACGGCAGCCGTAACTCTATAATTAAAAATAGTCGTATTAGCTAAAGCGTTTATTTCGACATATACGAGGTATATCGTATACCCTATTACTTTTTTAATAATTATTACTCGAGCTACTTACTATACTAACTAGCTAAGCTACGAGTACTTTAATAATATATACTAACGTAATCGATTAATTATATTAATAAAAGAAAGCCTATATCGTTTAGTAATATATACGCATATAACTATAGCTCTTACTATATCTCAAAGTCTTAAACTTCTTATAAATAAGTACTAAGAATCGTATTAGACCGTCGTTATATATACTATAGCATTGCATTATTACCTTATATACATAACTATTTTAAGTATCGACGCTCTTTAATACTTAGCAATATTACTTAATCTTTTCTAGCTAGCTGCAACTATGCGCATAGTTATTTACTATAATACGCCTTTTAAAATAATAGTTTAAAATATTACTAAGCTAGCTATCCTAAAAAAAACGGATATTATTATATAAGTAACTACCGCGGCTATATATAAATTTAACTTATATATCTACCGTAACTATATAAGTAGTGTAGTATTATAAATAATAGGCTACGAGGCCGTTAACTATATTTTAAAAATTAGTAATACCGTATCCTCCTTTACCGTTAAGGACTATATTATTATCCCTAATACCGTATCTAAGAATTATTTAGAAATAAATCCGAGGTCAAAAGAATACTTTAGTTTTAAGAATAATAAAATAAGTCTAGGTAGTCTATAAAGTATAAATAGGCCTATATTATATATATTCTAGGTATACTAAAGAAAGGTTCGTTAATAAGAGGCTGCGTAGCTAAATACATAAGGGTCCCCTTTATTAAAACTAACTTAATCCCTATCTTATTAACTTATAATATTACTAACTTAACGATTGAGCGTAACTACTTAACCGTTTTGGATATTTTCGTTACGGGATAGGCCGGTATTAACTATACTAAATTCGAACTTAGTAATTCCGTTACCGTTTTTAGGGCGGGTCCCGTTAGACTATTATTTATTTACTCGGCTATTCTATATAGAGCGTTTAAAGTCTATGTTATTAACTATATAAAAGAACGCCTTACTCTTGCTACTTCTATTAGTACTATCCCGATTAAATTTATTAATAAAGACCCCGTTGCCTAGATTCTAGCTTATAAACCGGACGGGGTTATACGCATTATAAACTATATTAATATAGAAGTATTAAACTCGAGCTTTTAAATAAATAAGAGTACTATTATATAATAAATAATTAACGTAGTATATTTTAAAAGAGGTATAGGCTAATTAGGTATATATAGTTTATAGGACGATTCGCTTAGCGTACCGTATAGTAGTAATATCTTGTTTATAATTTCCTTCCCTATTTCGTCCTTTTTTACTAAGGGCTTAAGTTTTTAAATAAGAGCTATTAATCTAAAGTAGTACGCTTTATAGCTAATTAACCTTATTAATAGTAGTAAAGCCTACTTAAGCTTTATAATTAGCGTAGTTATTAGTATTAAAGACGCACTAAGGTACTATAAACGCTTTAATAAAAAAAAAGAAACTAAAGTAGCTATTTACTTTTTAAAATAAAATAGCTTAATTATATAAGGCTTTCGGTCTATATATAGAAAAAACTACGGTAATCTAAGTAATATATATAAATTCCTCCCTATATCCCAGCCCGGAGTTTTAGAATTATATTTTAATATAATAAAAGTATACATATTATAATAATCTATAAGGTATTCTCTTAGCGATCCGGAAGTTTGCTTAAAGCCCGCTTAGATATTTTTATATATATTTTTAAGCCTTTTTATTTAAGCTGGGTAGACTTTATAAACTAAAAGGCGAGCTTAGTAGTATCATATTAAGGTGCTTTATACCTAACCTAGCCGATAATATAGTATAGCAAATAAGCGCCTTTAGTATCTGTATAAATATATCTAATAGTTAGATTGGGTAGTTGCAATATTATACGTAGAATATATTAAAACCTTTTGCTAAAGCCAAAGAGTAAGTAGATATAATTTACTTAATAGGGGAGGAAGTAGAAAATAAATATTATAGGATAGAATTGCATAATAAAGCGAGGAAGTAATAGCGGATATTTTAGTAATAAATTTTCTTACTAAGCTTAATACGTATAGTCTACCTCACGGCTTAACTAGCCGAATGCGCCTTAAGAGCTATAAGAATTAGCTAATGAGTTTACTTTTATAAGCTTATAAAAGTAAAATAACCGAGTATAAGTATTATAAGCTACTAAATAATAAGGCGCTATGTACTAGCGTTTATAAGGGCGTACAGGGTCTCTATACTAAACTTACTCTACCTTAACTAGGGGACTAAATCTATTACTAAATAGACTAGGGGCCTGGCTTATATTACTTAAGTCCTAAGAGTGCTCCGCGAGCTAAGCATCGTAGCGGCCGCATATATAAGCTATGTCTAGAGACTATATATATAAGTATCGGCAGCTTGTAGTCTTTTATATACTCTTATTTACATTATCTATTACCAATTTCCTACTCAATTTAAGCAACTTTTATTTACGAGATTAAAGTATATATACAATATCTTATTTTCTACCTTTTTCTATCGGCGATAGTAAGATACCTAATTAGGGTAGTAGGGTTAGAACCGCTTTAACGGCCACGCTTATAAATAGTGCTAGTATTTATAGAATCTATACCCCTAGCCTTATTTATAATAGTATATTATTTAAGCTTATTGTAATACCGTTAGTACTAGAGCCTACGGTCTTATTATATAAAATCTAATAGGCTACTGATAACATATTATAGCTCGTAGGATAATTTAGATTTAAAATAGTAAAAACGCTAATAACTCTTTTTATTAAAAAGGCGTTTTTCGCAAATAAGAAACTACTTTAACTACCGTACCTAATATACGTAAACAAGTTCTTCTACGTAATTATAAAGTTCTATTCTAAACTAATCTATAACTTAACTTCGGTATTGCTATTATAGTAGCTCTAGAACGAGCTACTTAACATCCTATTACTAATAAGTAAGACGTAGAACTATAAACTCGATTTTAAACCCGCCTTAAGGACTAATATAGCCCTACCCTATATAATTACTATTAATATTTTAAATAAAAATAATAAAGATAATATCGAGCTTATTACGTTATATAGCGGGCTATTTAATAAGCGGCGTATTTTTAATATATCTATTACGTAATTTAGCTTTTTTAAGTTAGAAAAGTACGGTAAGCTAACTAAGGCTACCCTAAATATTAGTTAAGACCCGTATGATAGAAACGGCTATATTGCTAATATTTTTAAATACTTCGTACCTTGTATAAAGAGCGAATAGCGGCGCGCTATAAAGGCCTTCTTATTAAAAAAAGAGGAGGACTTAGTTATCGCTCTAGCTAAAACTTATAAAATAAAAAATAACCGCTTCCCTATATTGTAAAACTAATAATAGTAGTTCCGGAACTTATTATAGCGCTTTTTAATTAACGCTAGGGAATACGTAACTAAAAATAGGCTTATAAGAATAAAAAAGGGACCGTATAATAAGTTTATATTTTAAGCCCTAGGTCTAAAGGACTAGGATATAAATAAGTATTTATCTATTAGTATTTAATTAGCGCTATCTTTTTTACTTTATATTCGGACTTTTCCCCGTCTCTATATAAGCTAAGTAAATAAAAAACCCCGAATACGTACGTCTCTAAATATAATTCTTTTATTAATATTTTTAAGCTAGTACTATGAGTAAATTCTATATTATAAAAATATCCGTCGTGGGGCGTTATATTACGGCCCCGTAAGTAGTACGCTAGACTTATATTATTAAAACTAATTATATAAACTGTCCTGCCCTTACGCTTATTTCTATGGTAATATATAACCTTAGGATATAGTAAGAAGATAGATATAAGTAATAAAATTAAAGTATTTAGATTGTTTCCATATTAAAGTTTCGACTTTGGGGCCTATTTTATTACTACGTCGTCCGTACGAGCCTCGAAAGCTAGTAGGGCCTTAATAAAGTCCTCTATATCTCCCTCTTTAACTAATAGTACCGTGATATAGTTTTTAGTATTAGCGTTTTTTATTAGCGTAGGTAAAAGGGGTAGTAAGTTAGAGTATACCCTATTCTCGTCGTCCCGTAACGTAGATCGAGTACCGTGGCTATATTTGATAAACTAGGACGGATCTTTCTAAATATAAGACTTTTTAAATATATTAAGTACCTCGGGTGCGATATTACCCTATGCCCGGGCTATTTTGTAAACTATATGCTATTTAATAGCTTCTACTATTACTTTATATCGAGGTAAAACGCTATTATTATAGGTTGTACCCCTTAAGCTACTAGATACGCTAAGTACGAGATTCTTATCTCTCGTAACCTCTTTAATTATCCCGGCTTTATATATAGTAAGAGATCCTATTGGATTAGTCGGTTATAGAAGGCCGTATCTATTTATAAGGAGTTTAGAAGCGAGACTTATAAGGTATTAGGACCTATATCTAAGCTCGTATATAAAGAAGACGTATAAATACTTATAACGAGAGTATCGCCCTTAGCTACGGAGTTACCCTAAAAGGTTAATATAAGTTCGGTTATTTAGTTATGCGCATATAGGCTCTACTAGCTACATCGCTCTACTAGCTCGTAAAGTAAACGAGACGATTATATAACTAAAATTTTAAAAACGGTAGCAATCCCTTAGCGGACGTCTATATTATAATTATAGTTAATAAACTCGCTAATACTTTACTTAGTATATATATATAAAACTTCCCCGTACGCTAGTACTTTTAAGATTAGTTTTTATTATATACTAAACTATATAATAGGTAGTTTATTCCTATCTCTAACTAAATAACGCTAATTATATAAGGCGGTAATGTAGCCCGTAACTCGGATAGTAAATACCCTTATAATAAAGAATAAGAGCGTGCTAACGGATACCCTCTAGATATAGGTAAGAAACTCCTCTCGCTCGTTATTACCTTATAACGCTAATCCTAAAAGCGCTTCGGGCTAAAGCCTTATGTTATAAAACGTTATAATAAAATAGTTTAGTGGCTTAGTCCCGGCTTATATAGGGAGTATACGTAATATAACGCCGTTATATATACCTCTCGCGTTATTAATTTATATAATAAAAAGCTTTATTCCTTAGTTATCGCTGCTTACGATAAGCTAAGTAAAAATAATAGTAACGCGGGCTATACTAATTAGTAATAAGGATAGTAGTATAGCTTTAGCTATGCTTACGTTCGGCGTATTTAGGGTAAAAGACCCGTTAGCTTTTATTATTATAGTCGTTTCTAAATTGCGGGTATCGAGGCTATAGCCGACCTCTATTAATATAAATTCTCTATAAGCTTTAAAAACGAGAAGTTTTTTAAGGGTAGTTATAAAGTTAAGTCGCTTACGTAAGAATTTAGTAATCGTTCTGATATATAAGTTAAGGTAAATCGTTACGATAATAAAAGCTATTATATCCCGAGAAGAAATAGTTAGTAAGTAGTAATTAAGTATGATTAATATATAATAAATATAGAAGAGAACGTACGATCGAAATAAAAGTCCTAAAATCTTAGGGTTAGCTTAGTAATGTTATTAATTATGAGGCCTAGGTAATATTAGTATAACGGAGTTTGGTTAGATAATATGTATATTAATAACCCGTACCTCGGCTTAGGTAAAGAACCTTAGCTCGTTCATAGTGTAGCGGGATATTTATAACTAATAGCTCGTAATAGCTATCCCTTTTCGTATCCTAGACTTCGTTAACTAAAAGTAACGTATTGAAGTCTATAATAAAGGAGCTAATATCTAAGATAACGTTAGTAAAAAAGGTATAACGTAGCTAGGGACTAGCTTAATAATAAGGATATGTATAAAGGGAAACTTAGAGAGATAACTTAATTCTAAGTTTAGTAGCGGTTATCTTAAGCATTTCTATATTTCGTAAAATAAACCCGCTTTTTATATTAATTACTTACTATTCGGCCCTTGTTAATTATTATAGTTTTATTATTTGAGTGAGGAGGCTATAGTATACGTTACAAAACGGCCCTTATTACGTTAGTTTATAGAGTTAACTTTAGCTTACTAAATTATATACCTCCCCGTACCCGAATTAAAATAGTGGCTATACTAAGTATAGAATAATTATTAGCTCTATTTCTAAGCACGGCCGAAAAGTAACTACAGGATCCTATTTTTATTTTATTTTAATTTACCTATAGTTATAGCTCGCTTTTACTGTGCGATATATATTATATATATATTCTAAAACTAGTCTAAAAGCTATAAGAGATAGCGTAGGCCGTAGTATATATATTATCTCTATTCTTTTCTTATTTCTTTACTATGACTAGTGTTTACCCCAGTACTCTAGCCTATAACGCTAACTATAAGTATTATAAGATCTATTAAATATTATTATAGACTTTGATAGCTAGCCGCGGATTAGCTACGAGCTATTATAGAGTATACTATTCGAAGTTATATAAGCCCCGAGTAGGAACTTACCTTATAATTAGAAATCCTTAGAATAGCCACGAATATATAGTAAATAATACTACTATTAATCGATTAGGAAGGAGAGGGCCGTATTATTACTAATTAAGCTATATCTTCCCTATTATAAGCGTTTAATAATATAGCCTTAATACGCAGTAGTTACGGGGAGAGAGTATAGTAGTAATAAGCTCTACGTACCTAGTTATTAAGTAAGGATGATCTACTATATAAAAACATAACCGTTTGCTCATAATAGTAATAGCCGACGCACTCTCTATAATAGATTTATAAAAGTAGAACGTATAACGCTATTATTAAGAGTTAGTAGAACCGAGAATAGGTTTTTCGTTATCGTTTATATAACATATCCCACATTACAAGCTTCCTTAGTTAATTAAAAACAAAAGACCTAAGACCTAAATAAGAACATAACATCTCTCATATCATATAATTAAACGTAATTTAGTATTAAATAGTACTATATATAATATTACGTTCTGGGGCCCCTCTTATTATAAGGTCTTCGGATAGACGCATCTTAACTATTTCCTATAGTATATAGTATAAAATTTAATACTTATTTATGCTACGCTAAGCTAGGATGCTAGCTTACCCGGTTTTACGACTACTCTTATAACACTATTCGAGCTAACACTATAGGGGTTAGCAAAAAGGGATTTATTTTATATATAACATACTTCTCTCTTTCTGCACAGACGTTTAATATCTTAGTACTAATACAGTCTAGCTTAGTACGAGAGTACTTAGCTTAGAAAAACCTTAAGTTAACAGGGGTGCTCTATCTATAGTTTAGAGCAAACATTAGCTTCGGTATCATCACCAGCAAGGATTCTAAGTAGATTAGAAAGCCAGTTTTAAATTACATAACCTCTATTATTAAAAATAGAGAGCGTGCTTAAGTATATAGGTCGGTCGTCGAATAACGTATATTATATTTAGCATATATATATATCTACAAGCCAGGGTTTAATATACACTATGTAAGCATCAAAAACGGCTTATATATCAGTATAGAAAGAAATTAGAGAGTTAAAAAAAGTAAAGGCCTTTTTGTAAACTCCTATATTATAGCTAATACCGTTTCTATAGTTACGTACTAGAAGTTAGTTAATAAGTTACTAATTAAGACTGTATATATAGAACTAAGGCACGCGGTAGGTAGAAATATACCCGCCGCTATACTAGATCTAACTTTCTAAATACTATTATAAAACCCCTTTCTATTCCTAAGTATATTCTTCTTAGCTTTAAAATAGGAAGTTTATAAACTAACTAGTTTGTAGATAGTGCAATTTAAAATAAGGATAGCGACTTAATATAACGGTAGTTAGGGTAAAGCGCTATAAGCGACCTTAGTTAATGCTTAAAAAAACTAAGTAAAGGTCGCTAGTTCTGTTAATATAGTCGTTCTAAACGTTAAAAGTTAGGGTAGCTAGCTAAAAAGGTAGGGTAGATAGTTATATTTAAAAGATACTCTACTACTGGATAGTCCTACTAGATATGGGCGCTAGATCGGGCCCTACCCCGGGTCGGAAGCTATTTACTAAGCCTCTTCTGTTTCCTATATCCTTTATTAATTTCTAGCCTTCGGTTTTTATTTACTAATCTAAATCTGGCACCCCGGTTACTCTATATTTTTATTGCTTAGTTTAAACTTAGTTTAGACCCTAGCTATTAAAAACTAACTGCCGGCCGTTTATTTATTTAGAAGCTATAAGTATAATATTTTTTACTAACCCCTATTACAACGCTTACTAAGTAATTATTTAAAAAGTAGAAATATTTATTTTCCTAAAAGGTAAATAATGGGGCCTTAATATTATTATATAATAAACAAACCTCCCTTATTCTAAGTTATAAACTTAGAGTAAATAAGACGAGGTCGATATAAATATAAGTAGGGAAGTCTCTTTCTGATTAAATTTAGGAGTTTTCTTAGTAAGTTAGGTTTTTAACCCTACCCTATTATTAAGATATCGTTAACCGTGTATTAACGCTATTATATAGCGGTACTGTTAATAAACTTTTAATAATACTAAGTAACGGTTTTTTTATATTTCTTTTATATCTTATTAATAATTATTTTAACGTTACTAAGTAGCGGTTTTATATTCTATATCTCTTTTATATCCCGTTAATAATCGTTCTTAACGTTACTAAGCATCGGTTCTATATCTCCTTTATATCCTATTAAATAAATATTCTTAACGTTATTAGGTATCGGTTCTACGTTTTTTTTATATCCCGTTAATAATTATTTTAACGTTACTAAGTAGCGGTTTTATATTCTATATCTTTTTTATATCTTGTTAATAATCGTTCTTAACGTTACTAGGTATCAGTTCTATATTTCCTTTATATCCTATTAAATAGATATTCTTAACGTTACTAAGTAGTAGTTTTATATTTTATATCTCCTTTATATCCCGTTAATAATCGTTCTTAATATTACTAAGTATCGGTTCTATATCTCCTTTATATCTTATTAAATATATATTCTTAACGTTACTAAGCATCGGTTTTATATTTTTTTTATTTTCCGTTAATAACTAATCCAATAATACTACCGAAATACTTTTCCTTAAGTAATATAAATAGCGAAATTCGGACTCTATAACCTCCTTATAGTACTGCTTAGGAACTTATCCTTATTAATAATAGAGCTAGTATAAAGATATAACTACGTATAATAGAGTATAATAGTGCGCGAGTACCTAGGATAATAGATATTACCTACTAGATATTAAGTAGTTACTTAGTTAGGCTCTAATAGCTTATAGATTTTTTTTATAGTTAAAAATAAGATGATACTCGCTATCTTTAATATATAATTATACTTTTAAAGCTCCTATATCTAGTTCCTATCTATAATAATACCATCTTAGCGTAATGACTATTATTATAAGTTCTTGTATAATAAGTAAAAACCCCTTTCGAGGCTATTTTTATATATATATAACCCTATAACACTATTAATAGTAAAGAATTTCGGTTATAAATAACTAAAAGTACGTATCGTTAGTTTAGTAGTAGCTTATAAATATTATATTAAGCTCGTATCGAAATACTCGTATAGTTATAATAAAAATTTAGATCTATTATATATTAGATACTAACTAAATTAGCATAGCTAGCTACTAGGGCATTAAAAAGAGCTAAGGGTAATATAAATAAAAGCTATATAGCATAGCTCGCTAGTTTATCCCTTCTATCCTCGTAGTATTAGTAAGAACTAGCCGTTTATACTACGCTTTATAGCTTAACGGATATTAATAAATTTAAAAAGCTTTTAGAAATATTTTAAATAGTAGAAATAGTATAAATAGGGATTATAAACGTAATAGTTAATATAAGCTCGCTTTGGTAGGTAAATAAATTTAAAAAAGCTACGAAGCAAATTTAATATTAAAATCTAAATACGGTTATAGCTATATTATACTCGTATTATACGGTTCTATAGTATATTTAGAAATCTATAACTAGATCTAAGGGACTAATGCGGACCTAAGGGCTTAGGATAATTAATTATAGCTATTAAGCTAGTTTTTTACTAACGGACTATTAAATAAAATACCGTAGTTTCTTTAATGGGCATACCCGCCCGCTCTACTAACTTCGATTCCTAACTACTTTTAAATAATAAATAGTTATACTCAGAGCCCGATTTTAGCTCGTAGTAGGGCTATGCCCGACCCTATTAGGGGCGTTTATAAACTATCCGGGTACATCCCTTACGTTAAAAACACCCTAAGAGCTTCTTAGTATGCTCCCTATATATACTACTATATTTAATAATAACGATTATATATATATATTTACGAATGCGGTAGAGGGAGTTTAGAGAGAGCTTAGAAGGAGCCTGATATAGCTAACGGGAGTAGTTATAGGTATTACTGAGCAAAATAATACGTATTGCCGGTCTCTCTACCTATAAGAAATATTTACTTAAAAAACGTAAGTATAAGCGATTATAGTTAGGACTAGCTAGCGACGATAGCCGCGCCTAAACTATAAAACTTATATATTTATAAAATATATAAACTTATAAATAAACCCCGCGTTATTTATCTTAATATCCGCTACTAAAAAATCCAATACGTAATAGATTTCTATTTACTAATTCTTAATATATTTAAATTAATAATTAAATAGCTCTATTATATGCGCTATAGTAGGGAGACCGAGCTTATTCTAATTAACGACCTTAAAAACGCGGGCATAATTAAAATCGGGCATAACTTATATTACTACTTTATATATACTAATATAACGGGCTATTTAAAAGTACTAAGAGCTACTAAGCTACCGAAGTATATTAAATAAGGAGCGGATTATTAGTATTATATATAAATCGTCGTCCGCAGCCCCTAACCCGAAACGGGGTATAAGAAAGTAATACTATTTTAAATAATTAGTTAAAGCGCGCTACTTTATAGCGCCCAGTAATAACCTAAGAAGCTTAACTTCAAAATAAATACTATTTAATTTTTAATAACCATATCTAGGTCACTTCGGTAATACCTTCTTTAAAAGCCTTCTTCAAGGCGCATTTATATACTTATAAACTTATTTAATCGCCCCTTAGTACGTAAGAAAATATGTTTAAGAAATACTATTATATTACTATAGTCCCAATAGAAGTCCTACTTTTAATAACAAAGATCTATTTAATATAGTGCTTAATAGGTGCTAATAAATAATAGGGATAAGTCTTATTACTTACGGTCTCGCTATAACAAACCTCTCTATCTATTTTAATAAGGCACCCGATATGGTAGTAGCTACTATAAGCGGGAGGCGAGCCGTATATATAGAGATATCTATTATAAGACCTATTATAGTTTTACGCTTTGTAGTCTAAATAAGCCTAGGCGCGTTAGTTATAGAGTTAGTATTATTACGTATTATAAATCTACCGTTTCTTATTCTAAACTATTGCTAGACTACCCGTTTTATACTTTATTTCTAACTGCGCTATTAAAAAGGTTATATATACTAATATCCCGTATACTTCTTAACGTATTAACCTCCCTAGCGCTATTAGTAACGGCGCTAGTAAGTATTTCTTATTTTATAACGTATCCGCTCGTACTCCGTAAGGCCGGACCGTTAGGTAGACGTTAGTAAAGCTACTTCTTAGTACTAATGTCTTTAGTTACTTATAAATTCTTACCGTAACTAATTAGTAAAGTATTAGTATAATAAGTACTATTACCGTTATTACTATTATTTTAGGGGGCGTCTATTTTTATAGTAACGTCGAGACTAATACTATTAATTCCCGTTGCTACTTTTTTATAAATAGAAGCGTTACTTATTTCTACGTCCTATAGGGGGTAATAGTACGTTTGCGCGCGCCGCGGGCCGTATTGTTAACTATTATTAAGTAATTCGTTTAGAATTTAAATAAACTAGTGCGGTTGCGTATTAGCGTTTATTTATTATCCTTAAGGGTAGCTTTTTATTACTATTTATAAATATATTTACGTTAGGGACGTCTTAGCTTTTTAGTACGTAGATAGCCCCGTTAAGCTACCGATACGTTAGGTTATAATAGATAATAGCTAAAAATATATTAGTAAATTTGCCTAATTAAAGCGCTTTACCCTATGCGCTAGTACTAGACTTTTGGACCTTATCCTTTACCCTTTTCTCTCGGGCCTTAATTTTAGTTTTTAGTAGTGAACTGCCGGTTATTATTGCTCTGATCTAGTATTACTTCTTAAGGAACGTTTATATTACTAAGTCTACCGAGGCTTTAGTAGAGTCTTTTTAAAATAGTAATATAGTAGCGTTTGTATATATAGATTAAAAACTAATATAAAGCGGTCTCTAGATTTATTAATATTTATATCTTTACCTAGTTTAATAAAATAATTTCCTTTAGTATCGTAATAGTTAGAAATAGCTTTTAGGTACTGTTTTAGAATTACTACTTCGCTTTTATTCCTTATTACCTTACTTAAAGCGGTTCTTAATTTAAAGCCCGATTTAGTCCTAAGTTTAATATAGATCTGGTAGGAAGTAGCTCGCTAGAGTTCGATCCGCCCTAGCCCTACGTTAATTAACTATAAATAACCCCCCCCCCCCCTTACGGTCTTAACTACTTATTATAGCCTAGGCCGAGCCGCCTCTAGGTTAAGAACGATACTTTATAGTACCTACGTATATAATACTCGAGGACTAGTTTAAATAGTTAAGAAACAGATTTACTAAGTTCTGTTAGCTACTATTATATAGTATTATAAGTTTAGGGTGCGTTCTATGTTCTTAGAGGCTAGAGTAGTATATTCTAATTATATCCTAGATATACTTAACAGCTTCGTCGTTTTAGTTATTATACTTCTTAACGGGCCCGTTTTACTATCTTCCTAGCTACGCCTACTATTCCTATAACTATTCTTACTAAGCCTATTTCTAAGTTTAGTACTTTTATTAAAAATAACCTCCTTTCGTTTAGATATCTTTTTACCGTATATACTTTGCGTTTATAGCTTCTTTACGCTATAACTATATTTTAGCTTATTATTCTCCTCTATAATATAGTTAATACTCTATATATTACTATACGTATTTTAGAGAGAAAAATTAGAAACTTAAAATATTATTAATACGCGCAGCTTAGCTACGACGAGTTAGTATTAAACGTAAGAGCCTAGATTAGCGAGGTTCTAAATTAGTAAGGTTTAGGATTATTAAAATAGTATAATTCTATATTAGCTAGCACGGGATTCTATAAAAAGAAGAGAATACTATATTATAATTAGCCATAATTAAATTCCTACTAATAATAACTATTTACTTCTTAGAACGGATCGAGGTCTATTATTATACACTAATAGCTTTAGTTATTATTAAGAGATACTCTACGAAGGTAATAAACGACTTAACTAGTATCTATTATAGTTTAAATATTTTAATAAGTTTTTAATAATAATCGTTATCCTAGATAACTATGTAGTATAAGTTGCGCTATCCTTTAGATAATTAAAAATAAGCTAAGATTATAAAGTAAAGTACTATAAGAATATAGAGTAATAAGTAATTATTTCCTAAAATAAGAATATCGATTTCTAATAAAGCCGCGGTTTATAAATTATAAAATAGCTTAATTAATAAATAAGTTAATTATTTAAGCGTAGCGTACGAAGCTAGTACTACGTATACTTTAGTTATCCCTAATCGTATTTCGTAAAGTTAACGAACTAATAAACTTTATACTTATATATTACTAATAAGCTGGTATAATAAAATAAGCGGGGCTTCCTTATATAAGCGTATTTACTCTAAGCTAGGTATTAAAGTATTTATAAACCGTTTATTTCTTAGGACTTAAATCCGGTTTTAAATATAAAGCGGATATACTAAGGATTTTAAGCGATCCTTAGTGTAAGTAGTTTACTCTCTAAGCTAGGGCCGTTTACTATACTATTAAAATAGCGTTATTATAATTATAAAAGAATGGCATATAATACTTAACACATATAATACCCTAAATATTACTATATAATACCTATTTTTTAAAGATACTTACCTCTTTAAGATACTTATATCTTAATATAGTACTAACTCTTATATTACTAACTATCCTTAGCTATATATACTAATTAGCTATTATATTTAAAAAAGATACGTTCCTAGCCTAGTCCTTAAAGAACGGATATTCTACCTCTTCTAATAAACTTTTAAAAATAGCTAGCCCCCGCGGCCCTATACTTTTTTCTATTTTAATAAGTAAACTAGGGTCCTTATTAGGATTATAAAGTACTAAAGGATCTAAGCGGACCCTCGTTTACGGATTTATTTTCTACTTTATTACTATAAGCTAATAAATACTTTATAAAGGGCGCTTATACCCCTACTTCGACCTAATAATATAATAATAGTACAGAACTTTATTACTTATAAATCCTAGACCCCTATATAGTTAAGAACGTTATTAGTAATATCTCGTCCGTATTTTATATACGCAGATTATAAAAAAAGCGGGTTATAAGAGAGTACGAGGGGAAAAAAATAAAAAATTACTTATATTATAATACCTAACCCTACTAAATTAATACGCTAGTTAATTAGATAAAAAAACCGGACGATTTATTTAGAGGTAGGTATATACCTAGCTTAATATCTACGTAAAAACGCCGCATCTTAATTTAATATACGTAAACTAAAGTACTTAGAGCTAAACGCGTACTATTATTACGATTATTAACTTAATCCCGCAATTCTATCCTAGGGCGTCGTTAGGGTAGCAGTAGCCTCTACTACTATAATAAGACCGTTTACTTCCTAATTTACGTTATTTACCCTTCGTACTATATTAGTCCCCTATACTAAGAAAATAGAATAAATCTATTTATAGCTATTTACTTATTTTAAGCTACCTCGCGTCTTTTTTTTCTATATTATTAATAGTAGTATTAATCGCTACGATAGTATAATCTAGCTAATTAATAACCTATTATAAAACTCTTATTAAAAACGGGGGGCTAGATATATTAGCCTCTTATTTACTTTACGTTAAGTTAAAGTCTCTAGGTAGCTATATATACTATAATTTATACCTCGTACCGGTTACGGTTCTACGAAGTAGTAAAACTATCTAAACTTACTAATACCTAATCTACTTATAGCTTTAAGGGGTCTATTTTTTATCGGCCTTAGATTTTATAAAAAGGCCCTTTGCGCCGTTATAAAGCCCGGACTGCTTATATTATCGAGTTAACTTTATAATACCGGACCGGATTTTACTATATTTATTATAAACGTTATAATTAGCTAAGTTACCGAGGCTATTACCGAGGGGAGAACATAACGTTAGTTTAAGCGAAAAGGATCGAGGGTATTTAGAATAACGGGTAATTATTTATAATAATAAAAACCTAGTATATATACTACGAGCAGGTTCTATACTACTACGGTAATGCCTTTATTTTTAATATAGTACGACGCGCTAGTAGTATTATATTATAATCGTACTTCGGGATATAGAGCCCGACCTTAAGTATACTCGTTATATTCGTTACTAGTTTATTAAGACCGTTTAATTATTTAGTTATAAAAAGGAACTGTGCTCTAGTATTTTAAGTAGTTATTGTTAGAATAAAGTAGTATATTTTACCCTTTCCCCTAGCTCGTATATTATACTAAACTATTAATAAAGTATACGTACCGTTAACTTAGAGCTAAGGTATATATAGTTAATAAACTAGCTAATAAAAGATAGCCCAAGCTTACTTAGTATTAGTATAGGCCCACTTATTTATTACTAAGCCGGCCCCGTCTTATTACGCTAAAATTAAATTACGTATATAAAAAGGCTA